TTCTTCCTGTTTTGGTGTGCTAAGCCAGCTCAAGCCCCAAAGGTCACACTTCAAATCCCTTTGCAAACTAAGTTTACTTATTCAACCCTGGATTTCTTGGGAGAGCCACTTTCTTCTGGGTGGCTACAATGGGGGTGGGGCATTTTCCTTAAATTTGAGGCCCTAAGGTCATGGAGCAGTCTGAACCCCCCACCCATGACACCTGCTGGAAGATGATGGAAGATGACTCCCTCACCAGATGCCAGAATGTAGGTGTGCTCACTTTCAGGGGAAGTGGGTCCAGCTTCTGTAGGGGTCCAAGTTTTATCAGGATGAAGACCAGCAGTAAAACAGGGGGAAAGGAAAGGGGACAGGCAAGTCAGACCCCCCCCACCAGCATGCCCAGGGGTCCTGGGTGGTGGCTGAGGGAGGACTTAGTTTAGGTGTGGGCTTTCTAGCACAAAAAGAGGAGGCTGTTTTCACATTCTTCTCAGAAGCATGTCTCTTGAGGAGGAAAAAAAAAGAGGTTTCGGATCCTTTCTGTCCAGCAGTGGATATATGCCCATGTGTGGGCATCCCCTGGCTCTCCCTGGCCACACGGGGGCTAAGTGTCAAGAGAGGTCCTTTCCCTGTGGCTGGGACAGGAGGGCTTCCCTAGTAGGTGCCTGGCCCCCTCCCTTCCCAAAACCCAGAGAGCACAGACCATCCAGCCATGCTGCAGGGCTGGCTGAGAGACAGGCTGCAGGCTGCCCTCCCCAGCCTAGTCCCGGCAGGAAAAACTGACCTAACATTTTTGCCAGCACAGCTTGGTGAGCCTGGCAAGCCCGGGTGAAAGAAGAAGGGCCCAGGAAGGGCGGGTGTGTGCATACCCAGTCCCCATGACACTCCCAGGTCTCTTCCCTTTCTTCTTTCCTCTATTCAGTAGGGGTTTCTGATCCCAGTCCAAGTCCGCCCGCAGCAGTCTGTGGGCCTGTCCTTGGTTCACAGGTGAGTAGACAGGCAACCTCAGTGCCCACTGCTCCTGCCAGACCATGCCCTGCCTCTCTGCCCCACTTCGTTTTTGCCATTGTCTGCAGACCAGTGACAGTCCCAGGCAGCCTCGTTTCGGCATCAACTGCCTGCCAGGCGCCCAGGACCCAGGGTTTGGGGGCTCAGCCCCGGGCCAGGGCACAGAGCTGGCTTGGTCTGGATTTTCTGGAATCAAGATTTCGCTTTCTGCAACTGTTGGGCGTTTCTACCAAGCAAGTGCCCAGGAGCGTCCGGAGCGAAAGACGCTCTCGGTGCTTTCGATATTTCCTACTGTCCCCATAACGATCTAGAGAATCCAGGGAAGCGCGGGGCGTGGGAGGATGGGAAAGTCATCCTCTTCAGGCTTTCTTTCAAAAGAAATCGGTACGCTGGATCCGGAGCCAGGCACCCAGCACTTTGGGTATGGCAGCCTGGCGCTGGGGTTCCATTTGCAGCACCAGCGTCGGCGCCACTAAGTACTGGGTATGTGGACGCCTGCTTCCCCTTTGTGCCCTCCCAGCCCCTCTTTGTGCAGCTGGTGCACAAATGTGGAGGAGAGTTCTGCGTAAGCGGGTGGCTTGCGGGCTTGCTCCCGGTCCCCGCTCTGCGTGGAAGGGAAACGGATTTGAGGGGCTAGAGCTTCACGTTCCCTTAGAGGAGAAACAAATGTCCGATGTTCGTTGGTCTCACAGAGAGGCCAGGGCGGCGGCCATTCTCGGCAGAAGGCCGAGGAGCACCGCCAGCCTGGTGCAGGGCCCAGGGCCCAGAGGCAGCTATAATTGGCACCCCAGCTCCACTAACTGTGCCCGGAACCTCAGCCTCCTCAGAAAGCAAGCGAGCCCTCTCCCAGAAGGGGGAGGAGACCAGGGCTGGACCTCAAGCATATTTTAGAGACTTCCAGAAACAGCTCCTAGAGATTCCTGTTGGGGAGACTTAGGAACCTCCAGCCCTTGGGTGGCAAGCTTCATCCTACACCCCCCTCGGCTTTTGGATGGTGCCCATTCTTGAGCATCACTCTTCCCCGAAGTATTTTCATTTGGGGGCCTGCTTTGGGTGGCTCCACACCCTCCTCTAATTCCTCTCCTTATTCCCTGCTCCTTGTTCCTTTGGTTCCCCCCACCCAAATACCTCCCACCTCTCTTTTCCCTGAAATAACCTAGCAACTCCACGTCCTCCCTGACTCAGCCTGACAGTACAGCCTGGAGCCCCTGGACCACAGCCACAGACAGGCCAGGTCTGCCACAGAGAGCACTGCTTGGGGGAGTTTATGTCACAACTAGAATTGGGGTGTGGGGCCCCCCAAGAGAGCACAACTGAAGTCCAGCACCTTGGGCTCATCTAGTGCTAAGGCTATCTATCAGAGGCAAAGTTCTCCAAGAAAATAAAACAATACTTGTCAGGACACCACCTAATTGCTTTTCATGGGACAGGTGGAGAAATCAACCTGGGATGGCTTTGTGGGAAGCACATCCGCTCTAGGTCTTTCCTCCACAGTGCACTGTCAGGAGACCTGAAGAATTCGGACTATTCCTTCCCTGGCCGGGGTGATTACAATCCTGAGTTGGCAGAACCCCCCCCCCCAGTCTAAGCATGTGTTATAGATGTTCTACACATCCTGACGAGCTCTATTTTCCTAGAGGCAAGTCGAGTTATGGGGTTTCATTTATGTAACACCCAGGGAGTATGTCTATCAGGCATGTGCCTAGCCAAAAACTCTGGGAAAGACCGCTCCAATGAGAAAAGTGGAGAAGCAGGAATGGAAGTGGAGGTCACCTCAAGAGAAGAGTGAGGCACCTGTCTACATCCAGAGACCACTCACCCACAGGCCACCTTCAGAGTCCGGGACCCAACACAGGACTTCCACCCATCAGCCCCTATGGGAGCAGCACTTTGGGGACTGTTGCTTCCTGCCCCACCCCTGCCAACACCCTGAAGCCTTCCTGTGGGCAGAGTGGGTGCAGACTGACAGTTGCTGGGTGTGGGCTTGAGAAGAGCAGGGCTAGGGCACAACTCTCAAGCCTGATAAGGGCTCTGCAGGTCTCACTGCCTGGCATGGGGGCTACTTGCCCCATCCTTGCCCTTCACTTAGGGCCTGTCAGCTTCCTGCTGACTGCCCCAGCTTGGAACTCTGTTAAGGTGGGCACCCAGGGCCAGTCCACCCTGAGAAGCCAGGCTGGGGTCTCCCTCTGCTGCCCTCCAGATGCTGGTCCACCCAGAGCACTTTCATTGTACTGGCACTCCTGCACCCTCAGAGCTGCCATTTTCGATGTTTCTCAAAGTTCACAAATTTCCATAAAAATACATTTTAAATGATGGACAGGCGAGCCTGAGCTAACAGGGGAGTTTGGTGGGGAGAGAAGAGCAAACAGGAAGGCGCCCGAGGGAGGAGGGGGAAGAGAAGAGGAAAAGGCAGTTTGAGTTGAACCTTCGGACAGAAGCCGGAGGGAGTTTAAAAGGGGATAAAGAAGAAAGCAGGGAGACAAACCGGCCCCGCCCTGCCATCAGATTCCTAGTCTCCTTTCAAATTGACCCTACTTTCCTGCGACACTAGTTTAAAGGATTTTTAAGACAAAGAAAATGAGGTGAACAGTCTGGTAGCCCAGTCGTTGTGTGAGGTGAGTGGGGGGACTCTACCCGACTGATTGGACCAGACCAGAATTGCGGGGGCAGCTGCCCTCCGCAGTATTTTCCCTCCCAATGGTTTTGAGAGTGTGGACGAAGAATCAGCTCTCCTCTTCTTTCCAAAATAGATTTCGTGATAACCGTCTATGCTCATTTATTTCTCTTTCCATGAACGGCGTCCCAAAACCGTATACCCGCGCTGCTGCGGATCCGTGCGTGCTTCCAGAGGACCCGCGTTGCCGGGTACGATCCTACCGCATGCACGCGCCTCCCTGCACACGCACACGTACGCACATTTAGAGTGTCTGCAGGAGGAGTGTCCTGCGCACCCGCCCTGCGTTTAAGAAGGGATGCTGCCGGGTTACCAAATTCAAACGTAAGTGATAATTTTCCTCTCCACCAGCAAAGAAAGCGGACTACAAAAGTCCCTTTGTATCACACCAGCTCATTTAATATTATTTATGCATTTTGTGCAAGGAATTGTGGGATTTCTCCCCACGGTAAACAATATGGAAATGTTAAAAATAGCAGTCTTCCAGCGTGTGTCCACAAATACGCACCAGGGTGACCTGGCCAGGCTGTCGTAGGTTTCCCCGGATTCCTGAACCTAGAAGAGATAGGCGAAACGCGAGCGCGCGCAGAGGACTTGTTGGGGGGGGGG